GTATTGAACGGATCACGTGTCGAATTTAATTTTATAGCATGACCGTGTGGAGAATTAAATTTCACTTGACCGCTGTGTACTTCCTCTAAATCCTTTGACAAGATTATGTATATCTTTTCGCGACTTTAATTGTTCTTTGATTCATTAATGGGTGAGATCGATTTGATTGGTCAAATATCTGATGAGTTGGGAACTTGAGAATGAGCAGAGTAGAGTACATGAATTCATTTCGGGAACCGTCACCCTAGAAAATGGGTAGAGTGACTACTTAAGTATTTTCTATTGAACGGTTAATATCTGAGCTCAGTGTTTAGCGACAGCTAAACTTTGACATCTGTGATTTGTTCACAGGACCGTCGAAGAAAATGAAACTTAAGTTAGTGAGAATAATTAGAGGGGCAAAACGGTCATTTATGCTTGTACCTAATTATCGGATATCGGACGGGGATAAAATACATATATGGCAGGTCAGATGAAAGTATTACAGATTTATTGGATTCTTTGATCTTATATATTCCAAGAGTTCAGTCTTTTGCCTTTAGTGGAAAAAGCAAGGACTAATAATTAAATTGGGTGGTTTAAAGTCGACTAGACAGAATCTAATTATTGGAGCTTGGAAAATATATATCCGATCAGGTCCTGTGGTAGCTCCATAAAATATTGAAACTAAATTATGGTAATTATAATAGTTTTGGGCTTTATTGTAATTGCAATAAAATTTTGTACTTGGCTGTAATTACTATTAAAGTTATAAATTTAATTGTAATTGTAATTGAAGTTCTAGGACTACACATGCAATTATATGTAAACTAATTAGAATTGGACTTAATTTAAAACTTCTATTTTTGTTTTAATTAGAACCCTTATTTGAATGTGGAATTATAATTGTACTAGAATTCTATCATCTTTTTCTCTATAAATAGAGACTAGATACATAGAAAAATATAAAAACATTCATAATTCCATAAGATTCAAATTTGTAGAGAGAAAAAGAGAGAGAAAATATATTATTTTTTTATTGTCCAAAATTCAAGAATTAGTTTCTGAATTAATTGAAAGAAAGTGCCCACAGCCGGTATAGTCTTTGTATCGGAAAATACTATAGAAGGTTTGAATGTTTGAAGCACCAAAATTCTTGGAATTAAAGAAGATGAAAGTTCTCGGATCAGAGTTAATTTAAGGTTGATCATTGAACTTAGGTAAAATATTCGAATCCTTTAATTTTGTTATAACATACACGTGAACATCTAGATGATCTTGCTTATTGAATTAAAAAAAAAATTAATTTCTGATTAATTCCACTTATCTATGTCAAATAAGTAATGAGACAGTCTTTTGAATTTTATTTCCTGCATGAGAAGATCACATAAACCTGACCCAGAAAACCATGAAGAAAAATAAAAGAACAGCTCCAACCACAATAGTCCGCCGATGAAAACTCGGGTCTCTAATTTCTTCATCCGAACCCTGCCCATATTTACGAGTTCTTTGAAAAACTTAAGAGATTGGCAACTTTTGCACATAATCTGGTTAGCACTTGGATAGTGAAACTGGAAGTCACCTACAAATCAACTAACAATAAGATAATAAGCGGAGGACTACAATTACAGCAAGGGCCAAAAAGCCCAGAGAATTTAACTAAGAAAATACTCCATTATGCATTACATCACATTGTGAGGTTCCTTCGTGTAGCTTCCATTTTCAGCAAAAGGTCTTTGATATCTGCTTCCATCCTCATTTTCATATTGAAGTATTCCTGATATGCTCTTTCAAGACCCTGGAGCTCTTCCACTTTCTGTTTATGCATCTCGTCTGCCTCAGCCAATCGCAATTTTGCAATTCGGGTTGTATATTCTTCTTCAATCCTTTCATTTTTTGTGATTGCAATGCGGTTTAAAGCTTCAGCTTCTCTTCTTGCATCATCAGCACGTGCTTGAAACATCTTGGCTTCTGCTTGCTTAATTCTCACGATGCTCTCCAATTCGTCATAAACGGGTTCTTTCCCAATTCGTAAATCCATGTTCATTTTGTATTTATCATCCCTCTTGTCATCAAAGCTGGAAAGTAAACCAACAGATTTTTCCAAACGGGGCGCCTTGTCTGAAGAAACGGACTTTAGCCACATGGGTCCTTGGCTGGACCCAGCAATACCATTACTGCCTTCTTTATTTGTTGTTGGTAAATCTTTCTTGGATTCGGTAGGAACAAAGCCCAGCTTCAAAAAATCGGATTCTGCAATTAAAGAGATGCAAGTGAAGACATTATTCATGTTATGCAGCGCCCAAATAACAGAGATATTTTTTTTAAAAGCTACAAGAGAGAGAGAGAGTCGAGCGTTATTATTTTGGGGCCGTTGCATTATCAAGGACAACTCAACATACTGACAAGTATTTACCAACACATCCTTTCCGTTTTCAATTTCATTTGCTAATTTTTATTTTTACATTTCTCTTTTCTGTCTAACAGGGCAGTGGTGGTAGTGTGGGTGGTGTGTTTAACAATGATCTTAAATTCTCGTGTGAGAAGACACTACAAAAATATAGTCCTTATATCTCATGCAAGCAAATGTAGCAGCCAGAGGACACTACAAAAAGATAGTTCAAATATTTTATGCAAGACTAGCAGCAATGCACATTAACTGTCTTACAACAAGAATTTTCAAGGTCAATACGACAAGACATTTTAACTAATCAGCATAACAGAGAATATAGAACACGTGGTGAAAATACAGCAGTTACAGACTACCTAGGGATGCTCACATGTAGCAAAAAGAAAAGGCAGACTTTAGCTTATGTATCTGAGGAACTAGAAAATTTTAGACATAGAATTTGTATCGTAGAGCCTATTGAAGACTTGTTCATCAATTTTCAAAACCATAAAGCAATAAAACTTGTTTTCAGAAAAAAATTAGAAAACCGCTATCATATGTGTTAGACTGCAACTAAAAAGAATCAATATGGAAGAATTTGAAGTTACATTTGTTTCCCCTGCAGCATCAATTCAGAAGTACAATAAGAAAAATGAATTATCCCTTTACAGCATAAATTTCAAAGAACCCCCGAAAATTCCATAAGACACTAATAGCAATGAAGTAAAGGAGTCAGACAATCAACCATCAGAAAGTTATGTAGTGCAACTTGCATGTGACAATGATCAATGAAGAAACTAATAATAAATCAACAAAAAGGTTTCCAAAAATCTTAAACAAATTCAAGTCTAGAAGTATAACCTATCAAAAAAGTCTAGAAGTACCTACCATAGCTCAAATATCATATGGGTATTGGAGGTTAGTAATGTATGCGATGTGCTAAAATAAGTAGGTTCTTTTTGAATATATAAACTGAGCAAAACTAGTCGAATTTGATAGGCATTGAGTGCTTACCATTGAGGAAACTCAGAATATGATTCCGCACCTCTTGAAGGTAGGCTCTATTTGCCAATTTAGACAGCATCTGACTGGCAATCTCATGCAGTTGTTTCCCTCTAATATCCTCACTGGCAGAGAATATTCTTCTCACATATTCAAGTTCTCTGGTAAGTGTTTCTGCTGTCCATTCTTTGACATAGTTCTGGAAAACTTCCTTCACAAAGCCAAACATCTCAGAAGGATGATCACAGGCAACACAGTGAAATTGCATTTCTGTAGTGCCTTGAGCACCCGATGCGCAACGCCCATTTCTGATATAGGATTCCCGTAATCCACAATCGGCATGACACCAATGTAGACATACATCGCATCCAACCCAACTGCATGTGTTTGATGCCATGTCAAACTTCGAACACACAAGACACATGCACTCCCTGCAAAAACCATTCTTCTGCGCGCAAATTTTGCAATCACATTCATCCACAGGCAAAAGACTCCGGCATGTAAGATTCCTACACCTTAAATTTAGAAATATCTCGGCCAAATCAGAAGATGGTACATTGCAATTTGGATGAAGAAATTCCTGGAGACCGGTTTTCAGAGCCACCAAGATTTCCAATTGACTAACATGCGACTTCACTAGCATGTCCAGGGTGCTATCTTGTCTGTTTCTCAGTGCTTTCTGCAAAGCACTCAGCTGCCACTGCTTACCTGGACTTAAAATGATTTCACGAACATAATCCTTCACACATGTCACGTGTTGTTCAGTCATTTCATTAAACCTAATGGCCATCGTATGAAGAGGTTCAGCGACTATCATAGTAACAATTGACTCAGCAAAGTCAGGTCCAACCACCAGTGCTTGCTCTTTTCCCTCTGGATTACTGATCCTATGAGAACTAGCATTATCTCTATCTTTCATCACAGGTCTCCTGTCTTTGCTATATCCAGGTCTATTTTCATGAGATCCAATACTCTGTGAAGGAGATCTAATATCATTTATTTGCTGAGATTGTGCTCCACGTATATGTTTATTAACACTTAATTGCCTATCTAGGCTAATGGGTAATTTTGAGCTTCCCTCTACAGTTCTTAGATGTTGTAACACAGGTTGTCCACTTGAATTTCCTTGAGAAGCTTGAGATTGATGGTGCAAGCTATTTCCTATAGAAGTGCCTTGATAGATTGGAACTTCTTTGTTCTTCTGGTCATCTGAAGACAGAGCTTTCCAATCTACTCCCTGAAATATTGGCCGACTACCAACAGATTTCTCATAATCATATGCATCATAGGTCAGGGAACAGCTAGGGTTGTGAGTGAACTGCTGAGAACCCGAAAAAGACATAGATGCAGTAAATCCATCAGAATTTGTGTGAAATGTGCTAGGAAAGGACTGAGCACTCCTTGCATGACTAGGAGAACCAGGATCCTGGCCTCTATTTTGGGCACCAATAGGTAATAAAACATTTGGCAAGCTAAGAGAAAGGTCAAGAGCAAGTTTTTCATCTTTATGCGTGTTCTGAGGTGATAGCTCGACTTTCTCATGCTTCTTAACTGGATCATTGGAGAAGAATTCAAATCCTCTAGTAATCGGTCCTTCAAAACCAGCGTCTTCAAATGTTGTGAGGCCCCTTGTTTTGTTTTCAACCTCCAAACCAGTTTCCAATATATGAGTACCATTTGAGGGCGAGACAGCAATGCTTTTGCCTTTATCCTTCAAATTTTGGGCTATCTCCTCTATCAAGGGCACTGCAGTTTCTTCAGCAAATCCCTTGTTTACTTTTGGCACATCAGTATTAGCTGCCTGAACATCAAGATCGGTACCTTTGTCTTCCCCTTGTTCCTTTTGTACAGTTGTTGGCTCTTCAGAAAATGTAGTGTCTGCATCCTCCATATCATAGATTCCTCTTCTAGCCTCTTCTTCATCATTACCTCCACCATTATCTCCCGAGGCCTCATTTTCATCTCCACTTCCACTTATCCCAAGGAGTGAACTGTCCTTCCCGTCCGGCAACTCATTAACATTGTTTGTTATGTCTTGAACATCTTCCAATGTTCCAACTTCTGCTGGCTCCTCATGACTACCCACTTTACTCATATCTCCCGTTTCTAAAGGTGAGGAATTTTCTTTTTGCTGCAAATCTTTTTCCTGAATGTGAAGTTCATGATGGAGCTCCATCCGAGAGGAGTTCAATTTACCAGCAGCTTGCTTAGGAGAAAGCGCAGGTTGAGGGTCGGGTTCCAGCTCCCCCTCTTCCCTCTCACTGCTAGGGGCGCCACTATCCACAGGCAAATCTTCACTTCTTTTGACTTCAAAACTCTTGGACTGATCGCTGACAGAATCCTTTGACCAAGCAGGAGACTTTGCATCTCTTGGTCCCTGGGGGGATTTCACCTTACCAACATCCTCTAACTCCACTCTATTTCCTCTAGCTAACTCACTACCACTACTTCTGTTTCCATCATCTCCATCTTTCCCTCCACTAAATCTTCGCCATGATGAAACACTCCCCTCCCTCCTTAACCTTTTACTCTCTGACCTAAACCCTTTTGGAAACTCCCTCCTAGGCCCTGAAAAGCTTTCGGATCGATGAATCCGATCCTTGCCATACCCAACCCGAGGCGAAGAACTTAGAATCCCTCTCTCATTCCCCTCTCTATGCCGATCATAGCTCTTCCTTCTATCATAACAATCCATGTCATAATCTGAACATTTTCTGACCGATCTTGAACTGTCCCGATCATCTTCTAACCGATCATACCTAGATGATGATGACGACAGCCCCTTTCTCCCACTCTCAGAAGATTTGTAGTAAGAGCTCCTGTGAGAAGATGACCGGTGCAAACCAGGATCCTCCTCCCTTCTTCCCCAATCTTTAATAACACCTTTCTCCCCATATGAGTCAAGATCATCACTTGACTTCAATCTCTTCATAATTTTAAACTTCAAAAATAACTAACTTCACACGGCCAGTATACAGAACATCAAACAAATTTTCCAAAAATATGATTTTTGCACAATTTTCACAAACTACTGTTACAACTGCCCATTATTCATAGAAATGCAACTAAAACGGTAACGCATCAAATTAAGAAAATCAAAGAAAAAACCTTCAACGCCCAAATCTGAATGAATAGGAGAAACTGCTAATCTCAGTCATGCATTCCATTCAATCTCCAGATCAGGAATCCTGAGTGAGCTAAAACCCTACGGTCCATATGTGCCAAACTTTTTAACACCACCAACAAAACTTAGAAAATACAGCAAATCTGAGCTTTGTAACCCTAATTTTGAAAACCTAAACTTCCCAATTTGTAGGCTTTCAATACCACCAAAGGCAGATTCAAGGACCCTTTTGAGAAATTACCTGATACCCACGCCCTAAAATCTCAGCGGAGAAAAAATCCCGATTTATATAAAATTTATCCACGGGTGTATCGATAGGTGGGTGGTTTTATTCGTAGTCAACGGAGATTTAACAGCTGGGTTCAGGGGTTAGAAAGAGAGAGTAGGATACGCAAAGTGCGTAGAGCGCACAGGCAGGTCAAGGATTTTGGAAGATGGTAGGAAGGGGGCGCACTGCACTCAGAGGCGCAAGTTAGAGAAACATTTTGGTCAACTGTCATATGAAAAGTTAAAGGCAGACCAGTTGGAACTTTCCACGTCAGCATGTGATTTGCAATATCAAGAATTGTCAGGTAGCAGACAAATTGGTCTGCTTTCTTACTGATGGACGACTTTTCTTTCCTGATTTCAAATAAATTATTATTTCTCCTCAAAAAAACAATAATAAAGCCACTTATCCAAACTAAAAAATAGGAGAGTAAAGAAACGAACAGATGTGTTAGAAAATGATTGAATATTATTGTTTTAAATTTTCAAATTGTCCAATCATACATCGACATATATCCCATTTAAATTTGAGTATGACTGTATAGAATGATTGTAAAAATAAAAGCAAAATACAAACCACTCCACTTGTTTTGATTTTGATTTTGATGCATATGTAAATGATTCTAGAGTAAGTATACCTATTGAAGTGGCATGAAAAGTTTTGATCTTTTCGTTTCGAGAGTAACTTCTTATTACACTGCAGGATGATACTTATACCCGTAAAAATATTATAATACTCTTGATTCACTTTTATCCGTACATTCTATAAAATTCAAGGCTTAAAATCATTTCAATTTTAGTTTAGGAACTCCCAAACATGAAATATGCTCGTGAAATGATTCTTGGTTAGTAACATTCACTAATTAGCATTTGGTCAACCATAATTATCAATGATCTAATTCGATTGACACCCTAATCAAGTACCAAATACCCTAGTTGAACACTAACTACATCATGTTGTTAATAATCACTTACCATATTTGAATTAATATTGCCAATTGGATTAAAGAATTATTAATTAAGAATCAGTTTGACAGCATTAAAGAGTGATCCTAAAGTTGACTCCTGTTTCGAATATTGATATATTTTAATCAAATACAACATTGCACCGATCGACAGCCATAAATATTTTTCTAATATATCATCGTGATAATCATTATAATTTATAAGAAAATAGTGATACGGTCAAGTTTTTACAATAAAAATAAAATTATAAGTCAAGTATGGCTGTGTAAACATTTCACATGTAAAAGTAAGTAATTTCTTTATATTATGCTTGTTCTTGAAGTATGAACTAGTCCATTTGTTCTTGAATAGCGTCTTTTAAAAGGACTTATACTTCCTCGATAAATGTCCTAGTTTAGTAAGATAAAAGTTATTCTCAAATAATTGTTCTTTTAGTGAACAGAAGAAACAATCCAATCTAGTGAGCATTAGCATGCTGTGATCAAATTTCGACAGAGTAGTAAAAAAATAGATGGCAAAATGAAAATCTGAAGATGGAGTAGAATCGATAAGTCTAGTTTGGTTTTGTTCTTTGGATTCGCAGTGATTGTATCTGCCTATAGTATCTACATTAAGGAATATACAAAACATACTCATTTAAACAAAAAATTATAGTAAGGTAAGCATAACTTGCCAAACTTTCACAATGAACTTAAGACATTGTCATCGAGGAGAAATTTTTTTACAAAAGAATATACGAGTGGAGGTGGCAAGTCTAACAAGAGCCAAAATCCGACACAGTCGTATGAATCCAAGTCATCTTGAATAGCAAGAAAATGTAAGCCTCCATAGGCATTCTTTGCTGCTTCCCAAGGTTCAACTTCCTTGCTAGTTTCGGGTGTTCTCTTTTACATAGCACAAACGTAGCATGTAGAGATCGCGACAAACAAAATCAAAGGCGCTGGCTACATCAACGTCAATTGAACAGACTTCCAGATCGCTCATCCAAGCTGCGGCAATGCATAACGAGATGCTTTATTGAAATAGAGTAACATTGTTTGATGGAAGCAAATAATATACAATAACTTGAGGCAAATGCCCGCACAAATTATTCTTGAATAGAAATGAAAAATTACCGGCTAATGGTTTAGCTCGTGAAGTTGCAACGGCAAGTCCAGGAATCAACATCTTGTCATCAACTTCGATTCCTAGAAAATCCAAATCTAAAGTTGCACCAAATTTTTATGTCCAAACACGATAATGCCTCCTGAATAGCAGAGAAGAGAAAAGTAGATTATGATCATGATGGTAAATCCTCACGCAGTTTATGGAAACTGTAATATGTATATGATTATAAAACAGGGCATTTTTGTTGGAAAAAATGGGGTAGTGAATGATTTTGGCATAAAATTTGAGTCGGACCCGTTGGTCCAATTTGGAAGATCGAAGTTGATTATTGTTCTCCTCCGTGAAAATATCGAAATCATATATTTATTTGCCAAAATTGATGAATGGATGAATGAGAAATTGGAGTTCAATGACCATTGGAAGATGGTTTATGTGGAAAAATAAAATTAGTCTCACACAAGAAAATGAAGAAAGTATGAACCATTTTATATAGGATTACACTTTGGAAGGGTGTAATCATGTGTAGCAAAAAGACTCTCTCCACATGCGCACACAAGGAGGTACAAATCAAGGATTGAAATTGTACATCAAGCCTTGAACTCAGGGCTGGTCCTGATATTTTGGGGGCCTTATGCCAACTTTAAATATGGGCCCCTTGATATTTTGAACCTTTTTACAAAGAGTTTTAATATAATTATGAATGATCTAATACAATCAACTAAGTCCCAAAATTTGAAGAGGAAAATACAAAATGTCAAATTTCAACGTGCAATACAAATTATAAGTGAAGTTTTAGCAAATAAAATTACAATGCAATGGCATATGGGTTTGTTCGTTTCTTTGATCATTTTCTCGTTACAACTCTTTCCAACAAAATTAAATATGCATTTGAGTAATTTATGTACAAAATTGAATAATGTTGATTGTGAGAGATAATCTAAAAAATAATGGAAATGACGATCAAATACACTCTAATTTTTTATTAATTTATAAGAAGTTAACATACAAATAAGAAGTATAAATATGGATGAAGAATTATTAAATTCTAAGTAATTTCAACAAACATCTAAAAAGGATATTATCCTGAGATTAAAGCAAATTTATAATAATATCAGCCTATGCACTCTGTAGTATATATTTTAAAGATAAGAGAGAAAGAAGGAAAGATACAAGGCCGTAACAATGGCAGTGAGACCATACCAATATATCAAATTGAATCTTCAAAATTTTATTTCAAATGGAGATAATTTATTTTCAAATAATGCTATTTGTAGTCGCTTACTACTGCAGTCGTCCTATATATCATACAGTGACAGTTAGTGATTTGATGTATAAGACAAAAAATACCACATTGTTACATCAAATCACTAACCATCACATGTATATCACGTAGGGCGACTATGACAATGATTGACTCCAAATAACATTACTCTTATTTCTTGTTGGATTCAAAAAATTATGATGGAAGAGTGGAATTTTTATTAGTTTGTTGTGTTTGCATTCGATGATTCTATTTTAAATAATTTTATAAATATAATTTTCGTTTTTCTTTAACGAATCAATAACCTTACAAATTTGGGGCCCTCACCAAAGCGGGGCCTTAGGCAATCACCTACTTCGCCTATAGTCAGGGCTTCCACTGCTTCAACTTGTGTGCGGGCGTGACCTGCGTACACAAACGTCGAACCGAACTAAGCAAAAATTGGCCCATTTGGAGTGTACACATTTTACAATTTTTTTCTTGCTTTCTTCACTGATTTTGAGTTTCTGAAACTTCCAAAAGTCTTAGAAACTGAAATCACTCCAATATTTATTGTCATAGAGTTAATGACAGATTTATCTATATAAGTTTTCATTCTCCAGCAATTTCAGAACACATACAAAAATAGGAGAAAAACATTCTGCATATTTTTTTCTGTCTGCATCTCGATTTCTGTTCAACATCTCATTGTGATGATATTGTTCGGATACTGGTTAATTCGTCGAAGTAGTATCTCTAGTGCTCAGATTCTACAGGTGTTACCATCGTATCTTGAGAAATAGACGCTCAGATTAAATCTCAAGCACTTACGATGAGGGGGCGAATCTGTTTTAAGGAAATTGTGTTCGCACATGCCTCGGGTTGAAGATTTATTTATTTTTTGCAATTCACATATTTGCGATTTTTTATTTAGCGATTTACATATTTGCAATTTATTTGCAGTTTAATCTTATATTTCGTAGATTTTTCAGTTTATTTTGTTATATGTGCTTCATATAATTTTACAATTTATTGTCTGTATGTCAGAAGAAAAAATTGAAGAAAATTAATTAATTTGATAATATTCCGTTTGGTAGTTGTCCAACGGGTATTTATATAACTAATATATGCAAATACAGTATTTCTACATTTTGGTGTATGTAAGTGCATATCCAGTATGCTAGTTGTATATACGGTATCTAGCAAATATGTGTAAAATCACTCACTATATATGAAATGGGTAAAAAATAGTTTGTGCAAATATGGTGAGCTTTCTACAAATACAGTAGGCAATAAATACAGTAAGTTGCCTAAATACAGTAGGCTGTAAATATAGTAAGCTGCATATATGGTATATCGCATATGCGGTATGCTTAAAAGCGGTATATAAACTACATATACGATATGTGATAATCCAGTTTCATTAACACCACAATATTTCAATAATTTTATAATCAATTTGTTGAGAAAGCTCGGTCCAAGATCTTCGAAACGATAATTTTCCAGCTCAGTTTCACGTTACTTTTCTTTACCAAACAACAAATCCAAACTGCTCCAACCTACAACTAATATTTACTTCGATTGTTTCTCAATCTCACATACAAATGACGAGATAATGGTGTTGATTTGTAGCCACAAAGGTAAGAAGAAAAACCAATGAAAGAGGCACGGGAGGAGACTAAAGACACAAAGAAGCCGCAAATTTTTGGAGCACAAAGTAGCTGAATTTTTCACTCAAGGTGTAGCCACATTTTCTCGTATCTCTCACACAAATCACACATGTTAAAATGAACAGGAAAGAGGCTATATATAGTCTAACATTAAGTTATCAATTTGGACCAAATAAGAGATAAATTGGCCAAGATTAAAAGTCATCCAA